AGTCTTCTTGGCTTGTCCACATGAACTGCTTGTGGGCTTGTCTCCTGCTCGTTGCGATTCTTAATCTTGCTGTGTTGCCAATTTTTGGTTTTTTTCCTGGCTCCACCAGCTTTTGTGAACATTGTTTGCAGATATTTTTGCATGTGCTGATTTCTCTAAGGGAACTAGCATTTATAGTGCAGTTAGAAGAAAAGTCTATCTGTTGATAACATTCTCTGTTTGTAAACTTGTTCTGCAATATGTCTCTTTGCATGCACAGTCCGTGTGCATGGTTCAAATGACATTTGCTTGCTCTCTGATACAGCATTGACAGACAGCAGTGCTTGGCACTGACCTTGTTGCTTAACCCTTGAGAGAATGAGCCTTCGTTTATTTTGCAGGAGATACAGACAACAGTCGAGAATATCTTTGATTGTATCTGTGTTAGAGGTAGCGGTAGCAGAGAGAATGACAATGATCCTATGTCACTCGGAGACAAGTACCTTACGTAACAGCAATAGGCTGATGCTGTAAATTTATCAAACAGAGAAACCCACTGATTTTCAGTTTCATTTTTATCCAAGTTGATGTTCTGGTGTGTGTGTGTGTACAAAATTTTTTTTTTTTTTTTTTTTTTTTTTCTGGTAACAATTTGCTATTGTGGCACTTGTCTCTATAGTGGAACTGACTTCACTTAGAATAGTGTTCAATATGACATTTAACATTGTGGGGAGTTGCAGTGCGGCTTTACGTTAAGGATACCCCTCTGTAACCTGTGGTGTCTTTGTTTCAGATAAGTCCATTCCCATTTGACTTGATCAAGGCTGAAAATCAGAAGTATGACAATGCAGAGATTGTGTGGGCACAAGAAGAACCCATGAACATGGGTTACTGGACGTACGTTCATCCACGCCTTGTCACTTCTGTTGGAGACAATGTTAAGATCAGGTAATGAAGAATCAATCAGGGTTGTAACTGAAAAAATTATGCTGCTGGCTAAAATTTCAAGTGAGGTGTTTCAAAGGTGGTGAATGATCGTTAGTGTGTAACCTCGGAAGTACCCATTGTGCTTTACCAAGCAATTGCCGGCCAAAAATCCAGTCAGTGATGGCTGCTTTTTCATTCGCCAAATTTGGCTGGCACTGGGCACTTAGTGATAACCCTGATACAATGTTAGATTGCATGGTGGGAAGTCTTCTCTTGACATGGTAAGATGTCTCAGCTATTTTTTGCAACTGGTTGTAACTATATCCTTTTTCGTTACTACCCTAGCCAGAATCTGTTAAAATATGGTTTAAAGAAAAGTGGTGTGACAAAAATAAAGAGCTTGCCATGCACTAGGGTAGCATTACGTCTAGTTAATCTATGCTTCTGAGAGTAATTTCTACCAACCTTTTGATCAGCCAAGTGGCTAAGTGGCCCATTAGAAGTTGTGAGACATTGCAACACCACTCTATATTTTATTTGGTTTTTTGTTTGATTGGTCGTGGTTTTTGTTTTTTTCTGACAGTTATGCTGGCCGTCCTCCAGCTGCATCAACAGCAACTGGAAACAAACATCAGCACATTTCTGAACAAGAAGATCTCATCAACAAAGCCCTGGAATAAATTGTGTATCTCACTTTGAATGACAGCTTTTGTTATTGTATGTATTTACTTTGGATTGACATAGTGCAAATTGTAGTCCAAGACAAGAAATATTATATCTTATTTTCTTTAGAGCACTTTTTTTTTTTCAATCTGCTTCAGCAAGCTGGGCAAGGGAGGGTGAAATAAATATGCACTTTCATTATTACTTCAAAGTTAAAAAAAGTCAAATTTACAAGCCCAGCATAGGAATATTTCGACTTGGCAAAACCCTGGGTTTGCTAACTGCTAATACAAAGTGGAAAAGTGGAGTGTAGAGTCAGTGTAATCCAAGAAATTAGTCTGTATAACAGTCAAGGGGTGATATTGAATTAATCTGAAAATTAGGGAGTGTTTTTTATTTTGGAATGAAATCTGTAAAATGTGCTAATCTAATAAACAAAGAACTGTTTGGTAATTGTTTCTGTCAATTTTATTAATGTGGATAATTTGTTTACATTGTTAGCTGAGATGAGAAAATATATCATTTAGCATGGCCTCCGTGCTCCAATTCTTTGACTCCTTGATGAAGCTGTAATCTTTTTAGATAAAATACCAGAACTCAGGTCCCAGCAGAAATTTCTTATCTCTAGAACCACATGAATCTAAATGTCCACCTGCATTCACAATTTAATGATTGCAAGTTAAGGATTTTGGGTTTGAATGTCCAGCATAACAATATCTTGAAAACTCATTGATGAATAAAAGTCTTGAACTATATAAGTAGTGGTTTCTTTTATTTATAAAGGCTCAAACATTTTTCTCGTCAGACATTGAAATAAAGAATGAAACTTCATCACTCCATCCATTTACAGCCAGCAGTAAACAAAGTACAAAATCTCAGTTTAAGAATTACCTCTTTGCACCCTAAAATCCGTATGAATATTCTCTATACTTTTCTCCAAACATTTCCTTTGGTACTGACAGAGAGAATTTGTGTATTATTTAATCAAAGCTTCTTAGGTTAGCAACCATTTCCATTAATCTCATGATCTGAATGAATGAACCAGCAGCCTCAAACTCGCATCTGAGAAATTGAACACAAGTCACACTTCATTTGTTAAAGGTCAAGTCTAAGTTAATGTCATTTTTGTAAAAACCAAGTTTTGCTTGTCAGGTGAATAAATACAATTATTTATTTAGTAGGCTTTGTTGACAGCTGCAAGGGCTTCTTTACATACTGGATCAAGTTTTCCATCACCCCCTGGAATCAGAGTTGATACATAACTTAAATAAAATTTTCATCCTTAATTAACTTTTTCCTAACTTTGTTCTCCTGTGGTGGTTGGAAAGTGATCAAAGCAGCAGGTGGTATCAAACAATAACATTTGTGCTGTAGCAAAAGGAGTGTGATCTTTCCAGTATGTGTAAACTCACATGTAAAATTGTTTAAAATTGGAGACTTACTGAGACCACTTGACCTGAGAGCACCAGTGTTCCCTCCTTACCAGAAGAGTTCAACACATGAGTCAAAAAGAATCGGTGAAAAATTTGATGTTAGCACCCCCACCTAGAGCTCCAGGTGTAAGTAACACTGATGAGCCACAGGAGCTCCATGAGTGAGGCACTCGAAAAGTTTTTTTTTTTTTTTTTTCACTGATTTTCATTGACTTGTTCAACTGACTTTGCTGAAAACGAGTGACCCCACCTGGAGCTCTGGGAGTGATACTAATGCACCACAGGAGCTTCAGAACCAGGTTAGAAACCTTGTCGTGGAGACTAAATTGTGTACGCAACACAGATAATTTTTTTCCTTCATTATTTGGCATCAAAGACCTTGCACATCATGTGCCACCCCAGTGGACTCTTCCACTTCCTAGATCTCAATAGTAATTCTTCTGTCGGTCTACCAAACATTTCTTTTCCTTTCTGTCAAAAGAATCATCGCGAGGAGAAATTATGTCTTGGTCAATCTTGGAAATGAAACGGCTAGCACCTCTTTCACTCCCAAGTTGGAATTTGGTAAAGACCTACCATATTGAAGCGCCTGAATTTTACAGCGATAAATTATTTCCCCGTGAACTACCAGCTCAACATCATCTCTGTCAGGAGTTTTGACAAATTCTACTGTGTGTCCCTCGCTTCTTAAGAGTGCTGTGAAACCAAAATATAGCTAGTACAACGTGTATTTCTAAATAGTATAGTACAATGCAACATGTCGTGTATAAAAAATAAATAAATACGAAGAAATTTGACCCCGATGAATCTTTACCTTGAAGCCCCTCCAAACGCGCAGTACGATGTTCAACTATTCCACATGACATATACGGTCCAAACTTCACAGTTACTTTGTGTTTGACCATTTTCCAGGTAGAAAGTTGGTTGTTGTTTATGTTGGCAACGAGTCCGCCATGTTTATTACCGAATGAGATCGTGGAGGTTGTTGTTTTAAAGAAATAATTATTTTACTTTTGATTGGCCCATAGTTGACCAATCAAGAAGGCTGTTACTTTTAAAGGAGCGTTTGGCGCTCAAGTTGACGGTTAAAAGCTCCTTTTCTACTCCATTGCAATTTGATTCCAATTCATCGATCACGGGTTCGATTTTTTCTTTAGGCTAAGCAAACATATATTTGTTTATCTGGCTGTGAAATGAGGTGGGGATGACTGCAGATCCTTGTTTGCGGTAAGTATCATTATATTAATGCCTAATTTAGTTTCGTTTGTTCTCTAATGAACCTTTTCTTTTCTGTTGATTTAGTTGATGTTTGGTCAACTTCTTTAATTTTTTGACTACAGCAAAAAATGTGATACCTTAAACAACCCTGAATGCGTGATCTTCCTCAATTTATTTCGTCGTTATGGTACTCTATGCATTTATACTTTTTTCATCTGCATAATTACTACTATTTGCGTTCAACGGTGAACCGTGAACGTTTTTCGTGCATGTTTATTTTTCAAACGAGACAGTTTTCCCCCACAACTGTGACGATTGGACCAACTATCATAGTTTTGTGCTCCAAACGAAACATTTTCATTGGTCCAATCGTCACAGTTGTGTGGGAAAACTGTCTCGTTTGAAAAATAAACATGCACGAAAAAACGTTCACGCTTCACGGTTGAACGCAAATGGTAGTAAATATCTGGCTCAAATGTTTTTAACTGTCATATATGGTGTATCTTCATTCAAACTTATGATATATAAATGTAAACATTTAAGGTTAATGCCTTTTGGGTCGATGTGCCCTTCTTAATAGACATATGGTAGTTTCGATTGGCCGAGTTTCTTGGATTTGTCAAGTGTACCAAAATTTTATGACTCCTGGTCATTTAGAGTTTTGCAAACCTTGATAGGCTGCCGGTCGTTTAGATACAGCACCTTTTTGATCTGTTTGATGTCCATAGATTTTCAGTAATTGAACAGGAGCTCTTTGACTGATTCCATGAAATAAGATTCTCCCACGTGCTTGTCATTTCAACCTTTGCCCGTACCGTGTGATCATAGGAAATTTTTTCCCGAAAAGAGAAGTCATATTTATTGATCACTAATTATCGATTTCATTTTAATTATCTTATGGGTGTATTATTTTGTTCGACAGGTAGATGAAGAGATATTACAGCCATTTGATGCTAAGAGTAATTTTAATGCAGCAGGCAGCATGAGTAATACATCTTCAAATGCAAACTCTGGATACAAGTTGGAACATGATCTTGCTTGTCTGGCTGAAATGTTTCCTTCTGTGGACTGCAAAGTGTTGAGGAATTACCTGGAAATCTTTTCAGACCAAGCTAACCACCTGTCGGTAATCATTGACATGCTTCTACAAGGGGAAAGGTCAAATCTTGATCAAAATGCAACTCAAGAACAAAGTGCCATAAAACAGAAAATAGCAAGAGAGGACTGCAACTCATGCAGTGTAGAAGCTGGTATAGAGGAGCTTTCGCCCAACAAATTACAGAGAAGAGATTCCAGCTGTAGTGACACTGACAGCTTGCCTCCAATGTTAGGAGAGGGTGAATTAGATGGTAAAGCCAAAGTGTTAGGTAGCAATGAAAGTGAATTACTTACATCTTGTTCTGAAAACTCTGACAAGAAAGAAGTGAACACTGTTAAATCACTAAAGTGTAATTCAGACAATGATGATTGTGACATAGTGTTGGTAAAAATTGTAGAAAGCTCAGCAAGAAAATCATTTCACCGCACTAGTAACTGTATCAGTAAATCAGGTACAACTTCACCTTCACGGCATAATGGTATCTGTATACGTTACAAAGGAGGCGTTTTCCATCCGTCAATGACCAAACCTAGAAAGCAGCAGATTGTTGAAATTGATGCCGATGGAAAAAGTTGCACAGGTAACAATAATACCCAGTCTCTTTCAAACAGAGATCAGTCTAAAAGTGGCCAATCACCTGGAAGGAAAAGACAAAGTATTGCAAAGCCTTCCTATTCAAAGACTTCCACAGTGGTTCATTGTGCAGAACCTTCAGATTCAGGCAAAGAGGTGCTAATGGTTGAAGAAATCAGAAGTAGGAAGGAGGGGTTGTCAGCTACAGCCTCTGTAAGTGACTTAGAGATTTTGAAAAAAGTGTTCCCTGATGCAGACCCCATTCAAATTGGTTTGCTGTTAGAAAAGTATGCCAATGAGCCCAACAAAGTTGCATTGGTTGGGAAAGAGCTTGGGAACAAGCCTGATACCCAGGCCCACAGCTTGAGGAGGAAGGTTCTATTACCAAGGGTGACGTGGTTTTGGGAGTCAGGCGACAACAAGTTGGTTCCATTTACTGACTCGGAATGCAATGTTTTGGAAAAAGAATTCCAAAACTGCAAGTCAGATTATTCTGGAGTTGCATCTGACAAACTTGCAGCTATTATGCTACCAGGGTCGACCAAAAGTGTCAAAGTTAATTTTTTCAAAATGACAATGGCTTGCAGCAACAATGGCACAAAAAGCCACATCTTTCGAGTCCCAGAAGGAAACGAGGAAAATAAAGAGATCAGGTGTGTTGCTCATTGCTATTTTTATGAAGGTTATCCTACCTGTTCCAGGCATTAAGTTTGTAAAACGAAGTGCTTTTAGAAGTAAACAGCATGTTATTAGAGGAGGGGTCTAAAATAAATAATAATAAATAAATAATAATAATAATAAATAGTAATTTAGCAATGGACATTCCACTGGGTGGCTCTTCCTTGTCCACTATTTCCAGATCCAATTGGAATTTGGAATGTTGGTTTTTGTGGAGGGAGGAAAACTGGAGGACCTGGAGAAAAACCCTCGGAGCAAGGACGAGAACCAACAACAAACTCAACCCACATGTGACACCAGGTCCAGGAATCGAACCTGGGCCACAGTGGTGAGAGGCGAGTGCTCTCACCACTGCACCATCCCTGCTCCCCGAAAAGGGAGGGTTGTGTAAACAGGAAACCCATAACAGGGCTCGAAACTAACTTTTCAATTCACTAGCCAAGTGGCTAGTGACAACTCAGATGTTACAACAATTTCAGTTTGTTTACAAGCCAAACTGGCTAGTGGAAATCAAAAACCACCAGCGAAAAACTGAATTTTTATTAGTCTGTGGCTAGTTGGCTACCATTAAGTGTCCAGCTCTGCCATAAACTTTAATAGGAACCTGTATGAAAAGAAGACCAGTGTACAGTGAAAGTACACTCCTCTTCAAGTTCTAACCAGTATGAAAATTCTCCTGCAAGTAAGTAAGATGAACATGGGAAGGTATCTTTATAAAGGATGAAGACTTCTTGGTAGAAAAAAATTCTGAAAATCCAACCACTTGTATGCTCTATGCGATATGAAAGTGTCGTAAAAGATCAGTGATGGGGCTTGACATTAATGGTAGCCCACCAGCCACAGACTAATAGAAATTCAGTTTTGGCTGGTGGTTTTTTGGTTTCCACTAACCAGTTTGGCTAGTAAACAAACTAAAATTGTCGTAACATCTAAGATGTCGTCAGCCACTTGGCTAGTAAGTTAAAAAGTTAGTGTTGAGCCCTGAGTAACCATTTACACCCTAATATCAGTATCAATATTCCCCAATTCTCTTCTCTATACATTTCTTTTAGCACCATAAAGGAGAATTTGTTTCCCAATCAAAGCTTCTTAGGTTGACGATTCTTTCTTTTATTCTCCTGATCTTAATGAGTGATTCAGCTGGGAGAAATTAGATGTTGGTCACTCGTAAGGGTTAAAAGGGTTAAAATACAAAAAAGTGAGTTTCAAAATTACCTTCTTTCACAACTGCAATTTTGGCAGATGCCTTGCCAGATTCATGATTCTAATAATTCTAATAATTCAATAATTCTATTAATTCTAATAATTCAATAATTCTAATAATTCAATAATTCTAATAATTCAATAATTCTAATTCAATAATTCTAATAATTCAATAATTCTAATAATTCAATAATTCTTATAATTCAATAATTCATCAGTTAAAAGTATGACCATAAGATCAGGGTTTTCAAATTGAAAAAAAAGTCGCAGGAAGAAATTATAAAGGGGCCCGAGCACTATCTCAATTCAATAAGAGCGGCGTTGTGGGGTGGGGTGCTGGAAGACAAATTAAGTGGCAAAAATGCTTGAAGTAGCTGGTGACTTGCATCGGGCACCAGCTGAATTTGAAAACCCTGCAAGACAAATTAAGTTTTTTTTTTTTTTTTTTT